GTAGCAACTATTTATATAAGTAGTTTGCAGAAAAAAAGGTAGGACACATTTACTAGAACGTTGTTCACCAGTCGTTGCAGGAATGAAGACATGAACAAACAATAGATTAAATTAATACATGTGTATTCTAATAATCTTTAAATGTAAGATATTGTAGTTTGACTTCAGGTATGTTATCCGCATAAGGATTTTCAACATTTTTTTGAAAGACGTCTGATGATTTAGAAGATTTAGAATCCATTTCTGTTCTTTTGTAGAAGTAGGTAAACGCTAGAGACAGAAACAAAATCACAAATATTACATTACATACTACAAAGAGAATGAAAGAAATTAAAGGTCATGATTTTTTTAGTGAATGTGTGGGAGTTTTGTTTTGTGTTTGAATTTTCCTTGCCAAATCTTAGCATTAAAAAAAAAACTATTTATCCTTTTGACATAATATTTCTGCTTCTACAATTTACAAAAACTGTTTCGAGAATTTGTAAGTTTAATTTATCTGGTATATTCTAATTTATATTATTGTGATTCTTTAAGATTAGTGTTATTTCTTGGCAATCTGTTTTTTACGTATTTTTGACTTTTTCTACATGTTTATTGCTTTCATTGAATATTTACTTATTTACTGCTCTTTGAAGGTGTTTCAAGGTTATTCATTTCGTATTTTCACTTAACTAGGAATCTGTGGCCATGTAATAACTGTCATGTGAAATCACAGAAATATTACTGGAAGTCCATTGCTCCAATCTAGAAGACACTCCCTCGGTGGCGATATAGGTGTACACTTATGAAATATGCAACCGCGGCTTGGAGATCTTTTTCATTCTTAAGCTGTCCACATTTGGCGATTTCTGCTCTACTTACCATCATGGCGGAAGTTTTTGGAAAACGCAAGTTTCTACAGCTGCTTACTCCCTTAAGGAACTCTTAATATATATTCTTAAGGATAAAGTGTAGGGTGTGAGCTGCTATGAGCAATTTAATTAGTTAAGGTAAAAATGGTTTGACTTCTAAGCTTTCTGGATGGTGATTTTTGGTTTAGGTTTTAATGATGCACGGTATTTGTCGCATATTAAAGGACATTTTATTTTATTTTTTTCCCTTGCTTTATTCGCTAGTTGCCATTTAACTTTCTGTAAATTTGCTGCTTTTCTCGAAAAATATTAGGTTTGGTTTTTCATCGAGCCTAGATATTTAAGGTCTCTACAAACTAGTACCCGGAATTAGTCTTTTTGTCGGTTTCAGTGCGTTTTGAAATTTAAAATATTTTTCTTTGAATAATTAAACATATACTGCCTACGCATGCAAACTTCACACAGTTGTTAAACGTGTCTGATATGTGAATCTACTTTTAGGTTTACCTCAAATTATGGAAGAAAATAGCTTTGAGTTTGTGCAGCGTTGAGTTTGCGTGCGTGAGACCGCCACGCACAGATTATTCGCAAAACGGATAATCTGACCCCGAATAAACTAGAGTACACAGTAATTTCAATGGTTATTCAGGGTCAAAATTATCAAAAATCAAAATTATCAAAATTGTCAAAATTATCAAAATTAAAATTATTAAAATTGTCAAAATTATCAAAATTATCAATTATCAAAAAAGCGATTGGCAATATAATGTTTGAAAAAAATTGATGAACAGCAATATGAAAGGAGCAATTGAAAAACTGTAGTATGAAAGGAAAGGCTAAAGCTAGGATTCTCAACCGGGAAAAATCCTTCTTTGGAGGGATCATAGTTTCAGGGAGAGGAATGGAGTTAGTCTTTTATTTACCTGTTAATTATTTATTTTTTTGTAGGAATATAAAAAGCTACTTTCATCTACGTTTTGGTATTTATCAAAATTTTCTATTTTTTATTCTTTAAGTTATAAATCATTAAAAATATTCTAAACTTACATAAGTGGATATGTAATTTTGGTGTTTAGTTTAGGAGGAGGGAATATTTTTTTAGCAATGGTGAAAGAGGTGCATGGGGTAAAACAGGTTCAGAACCATTGCATTGAAGCAAATGCGAATAATAAAATTAATATCCGAGTTATTTTCGTTTTCTTTGATCTTTCGATTATGGGCAGAGAAAATGAAAGGGAATGGTAGGAAAAGTCTCAAACAATTTAAAGTGAAGTATTCAAGAAATAAGAAGTTGAAATTTTAACTTTTATATTAATCATTGAAAAGTGTAAGTATATCTTGAACTTTTTTTAACACTACAACATATTTTTGTTGTTCTTGTTGTTGAAACGTTTGTCCCATATATACGTAATTCACATATGTGAGAAATACTTATTAAGGATTTGTTTTAGTTTACACGTAAAAATTTAATTGATTTTTATATTAATTAAACATGACTTTCTGGGTTGTTACTCTTTAATGTCGAGTCACCTCCTGAAGAGCGAATCATGGTATGGTTCTGCGGGACAGCTTGGTTGTCCGTCTGGGAACTTCGGTTAGAAACGAAAGCTGTACCAACCTTGGAAAGCACCCACCAAAGTTTTACCATTTCTCGACGAATATTACTATTCAGCCATCCGTACAGTATTGGATTCGTAACGGAAGAGGACATCGCTGTCATGTGACAGATAGCGAAGGCAAGATAGAGATTCTTAGGATCCATAAAATCAGGATTGAATTCAGCGAGGAGGTTGAGACTATTCCACGGTAACCAACTAACGGTAAAGACTACTGAAATGTTCAATAGGACCACGGTAGCGCGAGTATTTCTTCTTAGATCTCTCTGCAATCTTTCGCGGTTCATGTTGGAACCCTGATCTTTCAACTTTTCACTGTCTACCTTTATGACCCTGGCGTTTAAATGGGACCGTATATGGCAATGTGTAATCGACAAAGCCAAAACTGGTATGACGAACTGAACCACCAATATGAGCACCGTATACATGCCCTTGTATAAGGAACTAGGCCAGAGCTCAACACACTTGTAATACATGTGTAGTCCTGGTAACCCAACTGGAACTGTTCCTTGAAATATGGATATGGGTACAGAGAAGAAGAAAGCCGTTAGCCATATCAAGGTGGTGTTGAATAACATATCTCTTCTGTTCCCTTTTGGATGTTTGGGATTGAAACTGATGACGGCTTTGTAACGATCAATAGCGATGGCGAGTACAGTAGCAGCTGATACAAAGATGGTGGATGCTTGGACGAAGGGAACAAGTTTGCAGAGGATAGCCCCGAGGAACCAACTTCTTCGGATGAGCACCAGTAGGGTAAAAGGCATGCAGAAGACACAGAGAATAATGTCTGATAAGTTGAGATTGATGACCAGCACATTACGAGATGACCTAGAAGACAAAACAGTCATGAAATTCACTCTAAAATGTATCAAGAACAATACATTCATTCACCAGTACAACATAAAAAAATCTTATTTCCTCGTGTAATTTTCCCGTACTAACTTTCTTTGTAAGCGAATATTGTTCGAAAGTCGTCAGGGGAAAATTATGCGAATAATTTCATTTAATTTTTTCGTCCGAGAACTTTAAGAAATTAAAAAAATTCTGTGCTTAAAACTGGAATCTAAACATTTTTCTTAATATGAGCGGAAAGGGCGGGCACTTGTGTGATGCCATTTGTTTAAATCTTGTCATGAATTTCGTGGAAGAATGGTTGCCAGAGCCTCAAGAAGGTTGGACTTCTCCTCCCACCCAATTTTGAGGGTGGTCTAAGGGTCTCCCACCCTTTCTCCCACCGCCAAATCATACGAGAGGACTTTTGGTTCGCCATACATTTAGAGTACCTCCATGCCGCAAAGACACTATACAATTACAAACTTCTATACCTTCTCCGGGATTCGAACTCGGTCCCTTCCATAACCGCAGAAGGGTCCCCTAATAGTTCTATATTCCTTGTTATATAAATAAATTGTGTTTGAGTTTAAATGAAAGTTTTGCTTCAAACTATATTTATAATTTATAATTTTAAATTTATGTGTTTTATTTCCTCTCTAATTCTTCGAAAGTGTAATTTCATTATCTCGTCTGCTTATTTAAGAATTAAACCTTTATTTCTTAAAACTGCAGCACTACCAGAACGTGTCCTTCATTTAATTTTTAATGAGATCTAAACTTAAACTATTTCAGCATGAGTGACTATTTTATAATTAAACAACTAATCGATGAATGCAAAGAAAACAATCAAAAATCTTATGCAAAATAAAGAGAGGAATAAAATCATATCTAATAAATGTTTGGTAACACGTAAATATCGATTATTTGGCTTTCAAAGTATAAACGCATGCAACTGAAAAATATTTCAGTTTTGGGGGGAAGTATTCAAACTGCTGCGTGTAAAATGGAACATACTTTTTTGTTTTGTTTTGATTCTAATTCAAAGTAACACCATTTAAGTCATTTTCGAAAATCAACATTTCATTTTCGAAGTTCCACCTCGAAAACTAATCGCAATTTCAGAATATTTTCTGCAGCCCTAGGCGCGTTTTAAATGTAAACATAACTTGAAACGACAAGAAAAGAAAATTATTCATCTTTCGGACACCTTTCTTCAACAAAAATTCAACAGAAACTTAGTGATGAAAATTATAGGAAAGGCACAATATAGTAGCAAGAAAGCAGCGTATTGTTGTGAATTTTGTACTTAGATGGTTAATTTTAGTAGAATTATAAGTGAAATTGTATTACTTTTGCAACATGAAAACTCTAAAGAAACGCTATAATTGAAAAGTAGGAATACAGAAGCTAGTTTTTTTAACACTGAGTAAATGAGTATCTCGTTGATTTGGCGAGAAATCGCCAAAATTCGCCAAATTTGCCGACGATTTGGCAACATTTTTCTCCAGTTCCTGCATGACCGTAATATGTATTGAAATGGAATAAATGTAGTTGACCACCATGTTAGTTGTAACCGTAATTCCACCCTCGTATTACCTTCGAGTAATTTCGAGAAGCAGAAAGTACTAGAAATATCTCGGCTGCCGGTTGGAAGTTATTTAAGGCCGAAGAAAAAGCATCTGCTCTCAGTTGCTTAATTTTTGTTGTTGCGAGCTGTTAGTTATGCGTGAACTGAGATGTCGGAGTTAGCTTTCTCTTTAGATTCACTTTGCATTGCGTTGTGTTTAACATTCTTAGTAGTTTGATGCGTAACAACTGATTGTACTCTGTGATACTGTGAACTCTTATACGAGTATTCCTGAGGAAAATTCGAGAACTGTAAAGTGTTTATTTTCATAAAAATTTTATTAACATATCGTCGGACCTGTGTTCATTTAACCTACAATATTACGAACCCGTAAGCACGCAATAGTATTATTGTTTAGAGAAAGTTGGAAAACAATCCCTATTGCGTATCATGTATAATTTGAAATAACAGAAGCATTTAAAAATCATAAAAGAATTTAAAAAGATTGAGAAAATAAAGATATGGTATAACATATTTCTGCCGCCTTCCTAACGTGCCTTCGTGGGATAGTGGTTCTGCGCACTAGGCCGGTATTCCAGAGATCGGCGGTTCGATTCCCGGGGAAGGCGTTTGCTAATTTTTCAATTCTCCTGCTTCCAAAAATACCTAATGTCTCCACAATGGTAGGAAGCCTTTTATGATGCAATTGTGAGGGTAAGATTTGTTCGTATGTGTAAGAGAGATATTACAATACTGATATTATAATAATGATATTACATTACTATGAAAGTCTAACTGGTAAACAGAATCAGCGTAATATTTATAAATTTTGCAGGACTAGTTTTGATGTTTTAAATACAGAACCACCTTCTTCAGCTGCCTAACTACAAACGAGCAAGACAGAATATGGTGATGAGGAAGAAAGCTTTATTTTAAGAAAGCACAGAAGTTACCTTCATTTTATTCCTTTGTTTTACATGCATTTCGAGTTTGCTTCTCCAAACTGGCTCTTGATCAAGAACTAAATTACTTAAAAGTTGGTAGTGATAAGGGCTTTTCACCCAACACTTTTAACCAAGCTGTTGCAAATTCTTATCTCAACACATCAAAAGGCTCACTCTCGTCTTCGGAGATTACACAAATGCTGTTGTACCTTTCTTTCTATCAATTAGCTATAAAACTGCACGTATTCTACAGAAATTTAACTTTCGGTTCTTTTTTTTTTTCCTTCGATGAATAAAATTCCCAGTTCCATACTTAAAGACGCCATTCCGGATGTGAATTCCTGGGGTATTTACAGGATTCCTTGCCGATGTAGTTTAGTTTAAATTACTCAAACTAAGAGGGCCTTAAAATTTCGCGTTAAAGAACACGAGATATGTTAAGAAAAAGGAAACACAGAAATCCTCTGACGCCAAGCACTGTTAGTCAGAAATTTACTCTTTCCATTTTTTTTGCAGCCAAAATGATTCAAAAACATTTTCCATTCGTGAATTAGATTTTATACAGGCGTGTTACATTCAAAAAAATCTTTCTGCTCGAGTTAACGATTCTCATTCGAATCCCTTTTTACCCTCAGCCTTTAAGAACATTTTGTTTTAGTTTTCTTGTTTCATCAATAGATGACGCCAGTAACTTAACTTCTTTCCAGTCATTCTTGTCGTATCACCATATTCTATCTCGCTCATTGGTGCTTAAGCAGATGAAGATAGGTGGTTCTCTATTTAAACCATCAAAACTAGTCCTGCAAAATTTACAAACATTACGCTGATTCTTGTAGTTTAACTTCTCCAACAATCGTTATTCGACGTGTTATTTTAACTTCAACAACAGTAGTTAATCATTAATCTAGCTGCATGATATATCAGGCATCAAGTACATTCATATATACTTATCATGCAAAATCTTACAACTACTGTATTGCTCTACATTTCGCATGCAAAGCAAAATCTATTCAGCGTGATTTGGATTCTACCAATACTTGGTGGATTTTAGGAGGAATATCGCACCAAATTTGCTGGCAGAAATTGCGCAAATCCAATATCTAGTACCGATCCCAGGGACTTCTAGAATGTTTCCAAAAGCAACATGACCATGTCACCTCTTTATTTATCTCTCCCAATACGTACATTTATTAGCTTTTTAGCTTGAAGATGGTTTGCCTTGACATAGATAACGACATGATATAAAAGAACTCGACATATATCGACACAATTCGACACATTCGACTCAAGCGACTTTATTGCAAGAGCCTGGGTTCGAATCCTGGAGAAATCATGGATGTTTGTAAACTTACTGTGTTTGTGCGGCATGGGGGACTCTAAATATGCTGCGAGAAGTGAGTTCTCTCAAGAGGTTAGTGGTAGGAGAAGAGAAATGGGAAATACTCGGATCCGGCCACCAAGGTGCTCTTCTTCATAACTGGGTGCAAACTAAGCATAAGGCGAACTGTCACCTGTAAGTGTTCAAGGCTCTGGCCAACGGCAGAGGCAGTCATGTATTCCTTACCACGGTAATAATTCATGGGCTTTTCTGATTAAATTAGACAAGTGAGATTAGTAACAACATAATGATTATGATTGTATAACTAATTAATAAATTTCTAGTGTAGATCTTGTTCTTTTCATTTTAATAGAGTCTAAAAAAGGTGGCATGCTTTTGCATTTAAATAATAATTTGGTACATGAGTAGAATTTGTATTAAATACTTTACCTGATTTTAGTGTTTGCGAGCACTACACAACACACGAGAAGGTTGCAAAACAAACCAGTAGCCATCAGCAAAGCGTAGCATGTTATGATAATCGTCTCTGTTTCATAATCGAAAATTCTGTCTTTGGAGAAATGTTCTTCTAGAACATCTAAAGCTTGCTTAAAGCTGAAGTTGAAGGTGAAGTTGAAGTTAAGATCAGTTCCATTCGAAGGGAAGATAAAATTGGTCATGACTAAAATATTTCTTCACTTGTCTCTAAAAATTACTCTATTCCCATTGCATTCCATCAGTCTTTCTTATAAGTCCGTCAGAAGCCATACTAAAATGTAGTAATCTTCTATTCTTATTAAGAAAGTATCATCACCTGAAAAAAAATGAAAACACAGGTTTACTGGATTGAATAATGCAGCGGAATTCAACTGAAGATCTACAATTAGATCTCATTATTTACTTTATACGTAGTTAGGTCCCCCCCCAAAAGGGTTACAAGCATTAGTATTTGAAAAGTAATTACTGAAGAAAGAATATTTTTACCCCAGAGTGTAGACAGATGTCACTAGTTGTATAGCAGCGGCTGCGCGGGTAAGTTGAATAAGTTTGCAGATGCGTGAGAACGATTGAAATGGCAAGGCGTTTAGAAAAGTGGTCACGCTTGGAAGAGCGAGCCGTGATTCGTTAACCTGATTGGGTACCTGGAGAGTGGCCATCCCGTTATTTCCGATCGCTATTTGCCACTTTGACAAGGTTACGTGAAGCCATTTGACGCAAGTGTCCTGGCATGTTGAGTCATGGTATGATCCATCATGACAATGTCTGATCTCCTACTGCTCCCCAAACTCCATAATTGCTGCAAAAGTGAGAAATCTGGGGTCTTCTCCATATAGCTCAGATTTATCACTCAGTGACTATTTCCTATTTCCCAAACTGTAGGAACATTTATCTGGAATGAGTTTCTCTTCAGAATACGATGTGAAAACAGCTACGGAGAACTGGCTCCCTGAGTAGAAACGTAATTTCTCCGCAGCCGGGTTAAATAAGATAGGCTTGCCTTCAGATAAATGCTTAAATGGATTTGGTGATTATGTGAAAAAATGATAGAAAATTAGGCCTCTTAATTCCCTGTGTTATTTTCTGTCTATCGTCATTAATAATTTTTTTATTATCCTTGTAACCTTTTTTTAGATCCACCCTCGTAATTATGTGATCTTTAAATAGCTTATTACTTTTATTATAATATAACATCGTCTTAGGAATATAAGATTTCCATTGCATTAACATTTCTCTTAAATGCTTCACGTACTGTGAAGTTATTCTTATTTTGATACTTTATTTGGTACTTGAAATATTCAAGACCTCTCTCTGGAATTCTGAATATTTATTATTTTCATACCTTTCAATTAATGCGTCAAAATTCAAAGAAATAATTGTGTTTAGAACTAAGCACAAGAGAAACTCGTATTTGGCTTTACTTTTAATATCTATTGATTTCGAATGAGGTTGGACCCAAATCCCTCTTTGATTGCTTGGAAATGAGAGACATGGTCCTGACCGCCTTCGAACTCAACAATGTTTTAATCAAAACTTAACGCAGGCTGTTTTCATGATCAGATATTTTCAAGTATGTACATTCCGCTCATGAAGAGATTTATGGGATTATTATCCTAGTGATTTTTATGGAGCTATAGTCTAGAAGTATCTTTTCGTATGAAAAGCGCTTTCAATTAGTGAATCATTCAAATAATGGTATTAAATATAAAATGCGAGGTTGTAAAAATTAAGAAATCTAAATTTTTGTGCCGCCCTACAATCTCTAAAATTATATTAATTAAATGTTTACTCTCATTTGGAAATATAAATTGATGCAGAAAAACTTTCAATTTCGGGAACATATTCAAGGTTCGTATGAAAACTGAAAAACGAAATATTTAAATATTTACGCAACTGAAAATAAAATACTGCTTTAAAAATATTTATGATTTCAAGAGACGCCAATCACTTCCAATTTTTTCCAAAAAGGGGATCTTATTCACAGAACGTTATAGAATTTTTGCTCAAGAAAACTTTACAGGTTTCAGTATTGGCCAGCAAACTTATATTATAACATGCTCTTATCTCTACATATAATAAAAGAAAGAGTCTGCGTGTTTTTCGTTCGTGCTGCGCGTAAACTAATAGACCCAGGGCTACGAAATTTGGTACATAAGTGCATCTAGACAAGAGCCAGTGCACCTCGAAGCGAGTTTTTCAAAATTTTTTGGCAACAGTTTTTATTCAATTGTATACTGGACTGCTGACAGTTGAAAATCAGCACTGTTACCAATTGAAAAAATGAGGGGGATAATTCTGTGCAGTTTTTAAATTTAATGTTTCTCTTGGATACTGGACGTTTGCTGAGAGAAGCCAACGGGAAGTTGATTAATTTATTTATTAGGATAATTAATGGTTGTATTAAAGGATAGTGCTTATTTCATTGTAATTTTGTTATATAGGGTGGCCCAGAAGTCACTTTACATTTTGAAAATTAAATAACTTTTTTTATATTAATATATTTCTTTTTCTCTTTCCAGAATTAAAAATATAATCCCTGGAAATTTTTGGCATGGATAAGTTTACAACAGAACAACGAGTGAAGATAATTGAATTTTACTTTGAAAATGGACGGTCAATTGTTGCAACGCAAAGATATGCGCCATTTTAATGTTCGACATCCCCCTAGTAGGCCTGCAATAAGGAACTTAGTGACGCGTTTTCAAGGTTCAATTAGTGCAATCTTTAAAATCAGCAGACTTTCAGAAACGAGTAAATTATGCTGTCAGGTTTCAGTGCAAGAAATGACAATGAGTTTATTCACAAGTTGATCATGGGAGATGAAGCTCATTTCCATTTGAATGGACATGTGAATAAGCAAAAAATGAAAAAGAATTAATTAAATACAGTCATTTAAGAAAAAGGTATTTAATTTTCAAAATGTAAAGTGACTTCTGGGCCACACTATATGTAACACTTTTTTTAAATTTGTGTTTATTTTTGGAGGAAGCTGTTTTGCAGAGTAAAATTCTGCGCAGTTTTTAAATTTAATGTTTGGTGTTTCCTTCAGGCATTTTTCCGGTAAATTTAAAAGCCAGATGAATCCTGCCAGCACAGCTGCTAGTTTATCATAAAATTAAGAAAAAAAATCTGAAAGAATGCAGATTTTTAACAATAGCCCAAAGGATTTGTTAAGGGTTTTTTACGCTCTCACTGAACTCGTGGACTACTAGTGCGCTGTTTCACTCACTGCTGCTAACTTTATTATTAAGGAATATGTATTATTAAGCAATAATTATTTTATTAGTAAGCAATATTATTAAGCAATATGTTGCTTAATAATGTTATGTAGAGAAATTATCTGATAGCGTTGTAAAAACTAGGTGAATGATTTTATGATTTATGGAAATTTAAATTTTATTTTGATTCTGAATTATTTAATTTAAGGCTTTAATTTTGGGGAGAAACAGATGCTTCGGGAAATATTATTTAGTATAAATGAATATTATTTATTTTCTTTTATTTGCAAATCTTGTACAAACTTTTATTCATTGTGAAAGAAGCAGGGAAAGGGAGGCAATTTTCGCCAAGTCATGATTTCGCGCGCTTTAGAATGTTCGAGAAAGAATTTTCATTGTTAGTTGACCTTAAGAGAGGAAAGTACGTGACAGAAAGGTCAAAGGTTGCTACTTGTCTTTCAATGTAAGTCATTCAGGTTTTTGGCGATTGAGGGTCCGGTTGTTGGCTAAGTGAAGAAGGGCGCGCATGCGCGATCACCCTTATTTCCGCATTCTGGAGTTGAAAACGAAGATTTTGCCATAATTAAGGGGGCGATAAGTGAAGCCATAGTGGGAGCCCGTTTTGTGAAGGAGACGAAGGAAATTCGAGTTGGATTCACACTTTCTCTGGACTCACTTACTCTTGGACTCGCTGACTTTCGGGTTTGCTGGACTGGTGGACGTTGCTCTTGAAAACTGGCTTGAAGAAAATTGGAGTTGGATTCTTTCCCTTACTGACTGGTGGGTGGAACTTACTTGGGACGTTACCCGTGAAGCTTGCTCTTGGGATGAGTAAGAACAGGCGAGCAGTAATTTCCTAGCAACAACGCTTCTGACCGGCGAAATTTGAACGAGTTACCTGCGTGTTGACATAGGACTTTCAGGACCAAGCGGATAGCCGTCCTGGGCAGCAGTGCTCCTGTTTCTGTTCTACAGTAGTGAAGTGGAGTCTACATTTTTAGAACCAGTGTCAAGATGAGCCCGGCCGACATCAACGCGGGATAAGATAAGAGTCCTCCGCTTCAAGATGTCCCTTCAAGATAAGTTTTATTTTTTTTTGGTGTGTTTGAACTTTAGGCAAGCTTTTCAAAAAAACGTCCTTAGCAGAAAAAAAACAACGTCAAATCTAAAATTTAACTCTCAGGCCTTAAATTGTTTCCCTTTCCTTTCTTTTAAATCACCAGACAAACCTTAAGTTTTTTTTATGAATTTAAATGAACAGACTCTCAGATGAGGTTAAGATTTTTCTTATTGTGTTGTAATTGAATAAACTGATATTTAATCTGGAACCTCTTACAGTATGTTTTCTTTATATATTTAATATGAACTTTTCCTTTATATCTTGTATATGTTTTATGTTTTCGATCCTCTCACGGCGCGGTCCCGGAATGCATTTTTTTCACAACGCAAAAATGCTGTACACGTTTCACTATACGATTACTACCTTTAACGGCAAGTAGTTCATATTTAACATTTAACAATATAGGAATTTCAGATATAACATGGTACCTAGAAGTAAAACTATTTAACCTTGGTGTCGAAACATTTCTTCATAACAATAATTATTATTTATGGTGCACTTAACTCCATATGGGCCTTTATTCCCACTTACGCCATATACGATTCAACAAAAAAAAAAAATTCAAAATCTTTTAAGGGTGGTATATGCTTAGAATTCTCGATGTAATGGAACACATTTTTCTGTTTTTTAGTCTTTTCTAAGTTCATCATATCACTGCTCAGTTTTCTTACTAAGATGACATTACAAAGCGTTTTCTGTTTTTTTTTTATTATTAACGTTTTTTGTATTTACTTTATCTAGTAAAAACTAGACTGATATTTTATTTTTAGTTACGCAGAAGTGCAAACATCTCTCACTTCAATTTGTGTACTATGCCTAATTATCATTCACGAATTTAACGCTTGATATGTCCGTCAAATTTGCCGTATGGAAACCAAACATGTTATGTCCCCCCCTGCAATGAGGATATTTATTATAAGAAGATACTTTTCTAAAAATATATATATATACAACAGGGGTAACATACAAAATGTTGGA